AAAAAAAAAAAAAAAAAGAAAGAAAGCAGGTGTCCTTTCATGGATAAGAGTGAGAAAGAAACTCCTTTCGTTGGTTGATTTTCTCTGGAATTATTATTTAGATTCATTTTCTCTCTCTCTCTTTTCCCCCAAATTCTCCCGAGCATTTCTTCAAATTATCTCAAGTAAAAAGACCAGAGTTTACTATTCAAAATTTACTGGTCCTGGCTTCATTCCTGAAGTGATTTCCAGCCCATGGAGAGTCAGAGGCTTAAACTTTCCAGCTTCTATAGCTTTTGAGCGATTACAAAATTATTGAGGTCCCACAAAGAGGTCAAAAGGACAAAAGGCAGTTAACATATTTTAAAGATTACTTGGAGACCTACAGGAGCATGGTAAGTCCGTGCTTTAAGCTGCCAATTCAACAATTTCTTATGTTTATTCACTAGATTTTTTTCAACGAAAAAGATTTTCAACTCAATTTTTTTAAATCATCATGCAGAAAATTTTAACCTTTAAGCGAAGGAAGAACACGTGACTGCGCACACACTCTTCTCTAAATAATTCATTGAACTTATGCTGATTGATCTTAGTCACTTCCACTTACTGACACAATGTAAAATTTCTTTTAAAGATAAAGCATGTCATATTTTTGAGTATCATTTTTGTGTGTCCTAAACTGATGGCATAAAGTTGCGATGACACCCTCAGCACTGTAGAAAATAGTTTCTAAGTCACTCAAAGCAATATGCGACTATCATTTATTGGCCAGATTAAAAAATAATCCCCTTCGATACTTAAAGAAGTTGCTGTGTGAAGTGTAGCCCTAAGACCGCAGGTAGGATTTAGTTTCTCTGTTGGAACATTTATAGCAAGAGGTGTTACGCCTTGCCCAACCACAGTCTATTTTTCAGGCTTAGCTAAATTAAAGAAATACCAGATGATAGATTGATTTACCCAGACAGCGAGTTTCGGAGCCACTCCAGAGTCCATTTGCTAAGCATTCTCTGACGTGAGACCCCACCAGGGTGTAGCCCGTGTTGCACGTAAATATAGCTGTGGCCCCATAAACTGTGAGCGTGCCAATCTTGTTACCGTTTGGCGGAAAGGAGAGGCTTCCACACGAGATCACTGGAAGGCAAACAAAAAGCGAACGTTACTTCAAGTCTGCGGGTTATTCTCTTGCTTAAGCATGACAAAATCCTCAGCTTTAATTTTTATCAGGGACGGGGATGTCTGGTTAGGGTCAGACAGGTCAACCATCTAGGAGGCTTAATTTTCCTCCTCTTACGCCCTTGGAATGGAAACGTGGGCGCTTAGAGCGGATTCTAAAACCGTGCGGTGGAGGGACACAGCCACGGGGGCAGACCAGTCAAGCGCGCGGGCCGCCAGCCCGCCCTTCCGTGTGCATCGGCCACGAGAGCCACGCGGCAGCCACCGGACACCTGTTGCGGAACAGGAGCGGTCGTGCCCGGGGCCGTCAGCCACACTTAGTGACGCGTGATGAAAACAGGACGCCCGCGTCAACGGGAGGCCTGGCTCCCCATTCCCTCCATGTACTTGTGTGACTTGTTGGGACCGTGGAGTCATCAAGGCTGACTGTTCCCAGAGGCTTACGTGTGGTTTTGCACGGGTCACGACCAAGGGTCTGAAGACTCTTCTGAGGGCACCAAGGACTTGCTGAGTTACTCTGCGTAAAGGGGTTAGGGCCCAGGCCGCGGGTAGCTGATCGTTACGGAGTTCTTATCGATAGCGAGCTGATCGGAGGCAGCAAATGAAGCGAAGAAGAACACAGACCCTGTCTCCAGGCTACTCAGCTTCAGTCCTCGCTTTGCCGGTTACGGGGAGGCCGGTTTCCTCCAAGACTCCGGGGTCCTCCTTAGTTCCTCTCTTACGCATTCCTACCAACGCCTGCCCACAGAGCCATGCGCTGGCTCTAACGAGAGGGTGCGTGCAAGTGCCAAAGCGACCTAGGTACCGGATCAGGGCTCGGTCGGGGCCAACTGACGCGGAGCTGACCTGGGGACCTATTTCGTGGGCTGAATCCGTGTGAACGCCTCGACTGACGATTCAAGGGACGACAACGT